GGTCTTGGTTCTGTTAGATCTTCCTAGTTCTTTTAAAACTATTGATGCCTTTCCAAATTTCCTAGATCACAATGGCAGTATCGAACTTTATAAAACTGATGGCTCATTTGCAATTATTTCTATCTTACCACTGTTTTCTTCGTTTTTAAATACTTAAAAATGTTCTCCTTGGTTTTTTTTTTTTAATAGACACATCATTAAAAGAGAAGGGTAACTGTGGTAACCTATAATCCCTTTGCCGGAACCCTACATGCCCAATTAAAATGCTTCTATTTTTTCTTATTGTATTGCCACTCGAATCATTCACAAATGTCCGTATACAATATGAATCAAATAAAATTGCCAAGAACTCTCACTTGATTGCCATTAAAATTAAAATAAGCTCCAAATACTGATATGGAAATAAAGATGCAATAGAATCACAATAACATAAACTAAGAGAATACCTTATACATTGTCTTAGGTTACCCCCAAGGACTTAGCACACCCCACACTGGGTCTCTTCCACCAATGGCACATGGGATCTTAGTCCAAGAACTTGTCTTACAAATTTGGGCTTCCTAGGCAAAACCAGTAGAGAGCATAACATAATATATGTTTGACCAAGGCTCAACATATGAACATGAGCCCAAGACCTAGGGCTAGGGTATGTGGCTGGGGCATGCCACCCCTTGGCTTAGTTTTCCTTCCTAAGCCCTACAGTTTGGAGAGAGAAGAAGAGAGATATTTAGAGAGTGGCGTGTCAGTCCTTCGAGTGGTAAACATAGCATCACAATAGGAAGAGGTCACAGGCAATCTTCATATACAACATGCTAAGAAGTTTATAGTTGTTAGCTAACAATTTAACCACTTGTTTGAAAATTCCAACCAATTTCACAGAAGAGTAGGAGACGACCACTGTTCTGGTTTCTTTGTTTTACCTACTGCAACAAGTAAAACTGATACCAAGATGGATGATTACTCATCAAGTGAAAATGACAAAAACTTGATAATATGAAGGAACTCAACTCCCCAAAATAAATGTTTCAGAAACCAGCATGATTCTGCCACACAAAATTAAGTGGAATGCATCGTCGTCATGTCACCTCTCAGCACTACCAAGCATTTCCACACTTACCTATGTATCTCCAATATCTCCTCCAAGCTTGCCAAGCATTTTGCATCTGCACCCCATGATTTTTCATGCATTTCTCAGGCTAATACATTTGAAGTATTCGTCAGAGTTTTCCACAGAATTTTCAGCACACATCTAAATGCTTTCATTTTCATAAAAGATTCCCTATTATGGCATCATATTCTATGTATCTATTCCGATCATGGGGACCAAGTTTTACTAACTTCTTTTCTCTTTTTCAAGACTACACATGAAATAGCATTTCCAATAGAAAATTATCAACTGAAAGACGATACCTTTTTTCATGGTCCTAAAAAACAAATTTTCAATAAATTGTTCAGTGACCAATCTGACATGATAATGAGGTAGTGTTTAGCAAAAAAAAAACCACCCAGAAGGTAGACACACAATACCCGAAGCTTTCAATTTCAATCACTAGGACCTACTGCTCTTTCCTACAATCACAAGTGCATATCATCCGGATCCTCCATAGTAATCAGAAACTCTTTTTGTCGATGGCACTCACGCACAAGTGCCACCACAACTCAAAACTTTGTCACTGCAATCTCATTTATGCTGCCATTCCCTGTACTCTCACCTCTTACTCACTGGCATCTAAAACTCTCACCCAAGAGGCTCATAAACATGATCAATCAATAACAAAATGTAGACCTATCTTTACAATTCTTTGACCATGTTGTTAAATATCACCCCAATTTCTTTCATAATTCTGATACTTATCATACAATCATAGAGAAATTAGCCATGGTTAGGGATTTGAATTCCATGAAAATTGTACTCAAAGAGTTAAAGGATTCCAGAATTTTTTCAGTGAGGTAACATTCATAGATGTTATTCCAAACTATGGCTTTGCAAACAAGCCCAAGTTGGCCCTTCAGTCCTTTTTCAAGATGAGTGAGTTTGGGATAAACAAGTCAGGTCTTTTAATACTCTTTTGAATGCAATGATTCAGATCTTTTAATACTCTTTTGAATGCAATGATTCAGACCAAAAGGCTTTATTTGGTTAATTATATGTCTTGTATAGGAATTGAAGGAAATTTGGGATATTTCCAATTGTTTTTACCTGCAATATCCTAAATAAGGCCTTGTGTTAAATGAACGATTTGAAATCAGCTTTCTAGGTTTTGGAGGAGATGCCAAGCTAGGGTTTTTTTTCCAAATACTGTAACTCTGTAAGCTGTGACTTATAGTTATGAGTGGATTTTGTGGAGTAAAAAGGATGATGAGATTATAAGCAGAGTTTGGGCCCTGACCGTTCACGTTACACAGTCGTAATTGATCGTTTAGGGAAATTAATGGAGTCTGTTAAGCTCATAGTGACATGGAGGACAATTGGGTTCTTCCAAATGATGTCACGTATGGCGTAGTTATTAAATCTTACCATAAAGAGGGGCGACCAAGCGAGGCTTTAAGCCTTTTGAATGAAAAGCTTGAGAAGAAGTTTATGCCATGCCCAACCCCGTGCTGCAAATTTTTTTATCTTATTTGTAAAGAAGGCAAGGTTGATGAGGCTCGTATGCTATGGAAGAAGCTCTTAAAGAGGAAATACACCCGGATAATGCTATATAGTACTCTCATATATTGGCTTTGTAAAGGTGGTAAACTTAAAGCGATGAGGAAGCTTTTTGATGAGTTTGAGAAAGGGTTTTATCCAAGTACATTGACATATAATAGAATGGGGAGTTGTAAGAGGCAGGGAGATTATGGGATGATATACTCGGCAAAGCGTGTGTTATTAAGGTTTTTCACTTACAATAGGTTGATCAAAGGGTTTTCTAGCATTGGAAGGGCAATTGAAGGTTTTAGCATATTTGGAGGAAATGCTACGCAAAGGGTGCGAAGCCAATAAGTCCACTAATACCCAACATAGTGTGCTCCCATGATGGCGTTAGACTGTTCAGGGCAATAGAGGCTGGTATGTGGTCAGAGATTGTTTTCCCGAATGTGTCTTTTACGAGGACATTCATTTTTATTAACATGCTCGGTGACCAAGTCTATTTCTTTCACCCTTCAAGAATTGTACTTTTCTAGTTGGAGTTGAACTTGGGTCTTAGAGTTAATCTCATATTTTTAAGGCAAGGCACCGATCATATTTTTAGCGATGCATTCCGCTACAACTGTAATCAAATGGCCCTCCATGAAGCTTGACATTATTGTCCTATCTACTTTGACATCTTCTAGCCATTTTTCTAATATTCTCTAGCTTGGCCATTGGCATTAGGTTTTATAATTGGAGGATCTAATTCGAGTACATCACCACCCTATCATGGAAGGATACATGTCTTTTTTTTTTTTTTTTTTAACACAAAAATTTGTTCTATTAATTTTTCCTAGCAATGGTACCAGATCGTCATCTAAAAGTCCCATGACCACTCTATGACCACACTTTGGACTTCAAGCCAACCCAACAAATCCACGATCCACATGTCTCCCATGCAATGGGTTCGTGGTTAGCCTATAGATCCCACGTGACCACTCCAAGGACAATTTTGCGGTCACAAAGATCAAGAACTGCATAGGAGTGTCCTGATCTCTTTCTTCAGTGAAAGGGGAGTCCAACTACATGCAAACGAAGAACCAAGTATGCATCTCTTTCCCATTTTTGTCCAATGTCATTGTCATGCTTGCGTGCTGCGTAGGATGCCATGCAGAGGCTTTTAGGCACTCGCCTTTACAAGCCATCATATCATTGCACAATTAGGTCTTGGTTTCCTCTTGTCCCGCTTTGCTCAAAAGAGTCTTGGTTTCCTCCTGGCTCAGCATCCACGACCTTGGATCCTCTTTGGCTGTGCGTATTACATGGACTATACACATCCACCACCTTGGATCCTCCAAGTCAATGCCTTTTCACATGCCAAGGCGAGAGTGATGGAGCCCCCTATGTCCTAGTTAGAATCAGCTCCAACCAGCTCTAGTAGGTTGTTTTATCCAAGTAAAGCCCTGCTCAAATGGCCTTTTTCATCCAATTAGAGTACACCTTCCGTGATGATCTTTTCCTTCCAAGTAGCACACATCACATAGCATGTTTTATCCATAGAGCCTTCCTCACACATCTTTCACCCATGGATGTGCACCCATTACTCTAATGGTTGCTTTCACTCAATTAGAGCCATACTCCCAGGGCTGCAAAAATATGAGTACCTAAACACATGAATATATGAGAGCGGAAATAAAAAAACCAAGCAGCAAGGCCTTTTAAAGGCGATTTATTGGGCTTTCGATGCACTCATGCCTATGAATTACACTGTTCTTCATACTACATGTACATGTTTGACCGTTGCCTGTATAGAGCTTTTGTAATACTTTATATTTTGTATCTCATTTCTTTTGTGCTTCTTATACTTGGAATATTGGATTTCTGATCGTTTCCTATATTTTAATGGAAACTGCTAAATGCCTTCCTTCTGTTGAAAACGCTATTAATGGAATACTGAAGCGAGCTTCTAATGGGGTGGGAGCCTTCAATTGGTCACTTTTAGTATTGGAATGTTGGTCCACGTTTGAGCATTATGTCATAGATTTGGTGCAGTTATTTTTTGTGCATGGTTCTTTGATACTGCAAACATGAAGAAAACACCCACTTTACTCATTCAAAAGACTCCCGGCCATGCAGGGGCCTCTCGTCTTATTGTCTCTCTTGTAATCTTATTTCAGTAATATAAATGTTAACACTTATCAAAAAAAAAAACAGATCAAAAAGGGAAAAAAAGAAAGACGGAACTATAAATCATGACCAAATATCTTGTTAATGCTTCTGGAATGACTGCTTCAAATAGACACAAGTATAACTTGAACTTTTTCATTAATGTTAATTAATGGCTTTTCATATCCCGTTGGGCTTACAAGACGTCACCTTGTTGCGCAGCAGCTCAATTGATTTTGAAAGGTTCATGAAATAATGTATCAAATTTTACAGTGAAGATGGAGTATTGGGGTAAGTTCTCGTCTCGTTGCTTTCCCTGTGAAATGAAGATGAGCTGCAGTTAATATTTAGTGTTTAAACCGAATGGATACTTTGTATGCTTCAATATTCTAATGTACTAACCATGGTATTCCTGGACCAAACCATGTGAAGTTATGAACATTTGTTGCCATGGGATGTGTAGGATTATATGCATGCTCATGAGTGTGGCTTGCTGCTGGATGTCAATATGTGTTAGAAGGCTTATCATCTTAAACAATGGAGTCTAAAGTGAAAATAGTCAAGTTTTTGCAAGAAGATGAAACATAAAACTAGGAGATGCGTGAAGCTTTTCTCAGTAATGCATATTTACCTTAGGATATATTCTCTTTTTATAATTCTTTTTTGGCATGCAATGAGAAATGGAGCATCAACATGTGAACTTGTGCAAATATAGGGCTCACTGGTATTAAGAGGATATGTTATTTTCTGAGATGGGAGATGGAACCTTTATTCTTCCTTGTTTTTTATCCAAATCAGATGTAATTGTCATTCAAAATTGGGTTGGTTTAGAAACATAAGTATGGTATCTATCAATTTCAGAGTAGTATTTGTTAAGTTTCTAGACTAGCAACATATCTGCGAACTTTCAAGGATTGTACCTTTTTTAAGTGACAAGCTTCTGCCATTTAGTGGTTTTTTATTTATTTATTTATATATATATATATATATATTTGTTAATAAAGATACTTGACTATATGGAATGTTTCTTCATGGAGAAAAAAGGACTACGAACTATGGTTTCATATAGCTGTGACTTATTCCTAGATGCATCTGATTCCGAGTTAGCCAACTCATCAGCCACTGTATTTATCTTCTAAAAAATGTATTTAACAAGTTATTGAGAACTGGTCTTGGTTCTGTTAGTTCTTTTAAAACTATTGATGGCTTTCGAAAATTTTTAGATCACAGTGGCAGTATCGAACTTTATAAAATTGATGGCTCATCTGCTGTTACTCCTATCTTACCACTTTAGATAATATCAATCCTCAAAGTTCTATTTAGGCTTCTCATTCCATACAAGACTATGTTATTGTTGGTTACGTGGCCTTTCAAGGCCTTAAAGCCAATAGTCTTACTCTCGGTGGGAGTTAGAGAGAGACTGAATCTTGATGCTTGCCGTACTGGGGCCTAGATTCATATACCCTGAGTATTTGAGGCATTGAGAATATACGTTTTGAGAGTTTGAACTCTCGAGGAGGTGTGAGGGTCACCTCCCAGTCATGACTATATTGATTAGAATGACTCATAGCTGATGTGATAAGCAAGGGCTTAGAGAATCCAATCGAGAATAATAGAGCCCGAGTAATTAAAAGAGTATTGCGCCTGTATGGAATGGTCGGCTTATAGGACATGAGCCCATATCCTGATACGAGACCTTTCTATGTCATGTGCACCCCACAATCGTTTGGGAAAGCCACTCTTCTATAGTATTATCCGACTTAGAAGAGCTAGTGCATATGTGCTTTGAGAGGACCCCTGTATTTGAATAAGAACATGCCCCACAGGGGTGCACCAGTAATCCATTGAACCCCTGGTGACGGGAAGCTCTGGTTCAGTGACTTTGATGTGAGCAATTATGTTTCCTTGCCATAGACCGTGGAGCATAGGTTCATTGGGTCAGCTTAAAACACCGGTGGAATGTCATTTGGGTTAGCCCAATGGAAGACTCCGACTAGTGTTATAAGTCTAGAGATCTCATTTACCTTTGGCCCAAATTAATCTAAAATTGATGAGAAAATATTTTATATTGATGAGAAATTGTGTAAGAATGTTGAGAAATCATTTAGAAAATTTTGTTGGGATTTTTGGAGAATTTTTCAAATGTTTTAAACAATAAAAAATGTGATTTTCAAATTTGTTTGACAAAAATACCAAACAAGGACATCCTATGGGGATGCTACATGGATCTCAAGTGGCCATAGGGATGCCACGTGGCACTGCCATCCCTCCACTCGTGGATGACATCATGCTGACATCATATCCATGTGGGGACCTATTTGTTATTAATTCTTTTGTTGGCATTATGTTATAACATGTTATCTTGTTATTTAAAGTGTTATATATTGTTATGAATTCAGTTTGATTTAAGTTACATGTTTTTTTCTTGCTCATATGTGTCATTTTTGGTATATGTGAAGTCATGGGATTTTGAGAATTAATTTAATTCATATTATTATCCACATATGTTTTTGTAGCATGTGGGTATATCTTATGTAGCACCACCTTATAGGCTTGACCCATGTGAAACTTTAGTGTTGTTAAAATCCTACATGTGTGGATATCTCATATTGCCTTTATGTTTATGTTCTTGTATTTTATTGACTCCCACAAATTATTTAAAAACCATGGGCATAAATGTAAACATGAATTTGGACTTAATGAGAAATAAAACATGGAGCTAAGGGCTTTTAAGTAAAATGCCTATAAACCTAGGTTTTAAAGAGTGAAGGGTGTCAAAAGCTCATCCATTGGTATTGGTGATAAGATATGGATGAGTGGCTTGGATAAAAGCCTCTCATTTGCCATTGATCTAAGGCATCAATGATCAAGATCAAATCCATCTTTATGATCTAAGATAAAAGTAACTTATGGGATCAATTATCCATAGAGCCTTCCTCACGCAACATCTTTCACCCATGGATGTGGCACCCATTACTCCAATGCTTGGTTTCACTCAATTAGAGCCACACCCAAGAGTGCAAAAATATGAGTTCATAAACACATGAATATATGAGAGAAAAAATCAAAAAACCAAGCGTTAAGGCTTTTAATGGTGATTTATTCAGCTTCCGATGCACTCATGCCATACAAATTACACTGTTCTTCATAGTACATGTTTGACCTTTGCCCTGATAGAGCTTTTGTAATACTTTATATTTTGTATCTCGTTTCTTTTGTGCTTCTTATACTTGGAATAATGGATTTTTGTTCGTTTCCTATATTTTAATCGAAATTGCTAGATGCCTTCTTTCTGTCGAAAATGTAATTAGTGGAATACTGAAGCGAGCTTTTAATGGGGAGGGAGCCTCCAATTGGCCACTTTTAGTATCAGAATGAGTGGAATACTGAAGCGAGCTTTTAATGGGGAGGGAGCCTCCAATTGGTCACTTTTAGTATCAGAATGTTGGTCCACTTTTTGGGCAGTGTTGTAAATTTGGTGCAGTTATTTTTTGTGCATGGTTCTGTGATACTGCAAACATGAAGAAAACACCCAATTTACTCATTTAAAAAACAGATCAGAAACGGAAAAAAAAGACGGAACTATAAATCAAGGCAAAATATCTTGTTAATGCTCTTGGAATGTCTGCTTCAAATAGACACAAGTATAACTTGAAATTTTTCATTAATTTTAACTAATGGTTTTCATATCCCGCTGGGCTTGGAAGACCTCACCTTGTTGCGGGACCTCACATTGTTCAATAAATACATATCGAACAATGAGTCTGTACTTCTACAAAATAAACCCATGTATTCCATATGATCCTTCAAAGCCAACAAATCACATTTAGTTAATCACTTTAGATAATATAAATCTTCAAAGTTCTATTAAGGTTTCTCGATCCATACGAGACTATGTTATTTCTGCCAAAGAGCCCTCAATACCAAAAGTACTGCATGGATCTTTTAATTGTCTCCTTATTTGTTTCATGTGATATCCAAAAAACATGCAAGTCTAGTGCTTCTCGTTGCAACTCCAAAAATTCAGCTTGATCATTTCATTATTTTCACTGTGGTTGGTGGTGAATCCAATCTCTATTGAGGCTTGGGTCTCAAACCTTGAAGATCTACGACTGTTTTTGGTCAAGCGTTTAACCAGTTCTTCATGAGCTTTGGTCCTTTGATTTTTCATTCTTTCCTCTTTTTTTTTTGGGACAAGGGTTTGACTAGTTCTTCATGAGGTCTTGATCCAGCTTGGATTTTTTTCACCATTTCGATTCTTCCAAGGACTCCATACTGTCACTAAGAAAATGCAGCACTACTGTTTTGGCCCTCGCTTGTTCTATCACATTCATCTCCATCCATGCGATGTAATGGAAATGCATGTATAAGTTGTAACTCAAAAAAAAAAAAAAAATAGACTGACATTTTTTTATCATATTGTGCAGCTGTATATGCTAACAACAACATGAGACTCCCACCTCTTATTCCTCTACGATATTGCATTTGTTTACCAAGACTAAACCCCTATGTTGGACATGATCCATCCATATGGTCCTTGCTTACCAGGGTCAAGAAATTTGGATACAAACATACTTAAAACATGAGAAACATGCTTCTTCCTCCAGATCAAACAAATCATGGATGCCTCTCAATAATGTGTACCTCATTGACTAGTTATTGGAACTTAGCTGGGTCACCAGCCCAAGCCCTTATGGAGCAGTGGTACTTTGGTACACCCCTCTTGAAAGGTGGATAATGTGACTGGGCAAGTCACTACCATTTAAATTTTTTCTATTTTTTCTTATTGTATTGCCACCCGAATCACTCACAAGTGTCTTTATACAATATGAACCAAATAAAATTGCCAAGAACTCTCATTTGCTTGCCATTAAAATTAAAATACATTCCAAATACAAATCTGAAAATAAAGATGCAATACAATCAAAAGAACATAAACTAAGAGAATACCTTATACCTTACCTCAAGTTACCCCAAGGACTTAGGACACCCCACACCGCGTCTCATCCACAACGGCACACAAGATCTAAGTCGAAAAACTTGTTTCACAAATTTGGGAAGCCTACGCAAAAACCAAGAGAGAGCGAGCATAACATAATATATGCTTGACCAAGGCTCAACATCTGAACATAAGGCCAAGACCTAGGGCTAGGTTATGTGGCTTGGGCATGCCACCCCTTGGCTTAGTTTTCTTTCCTAAACCCTAAAGTTTGGAGAGAGAATAAGAGAGAGATATTTAGAGTGGCATGTTACTCCATCAGGCATAGAGAGAGAGAGATCAAGTGAAGAGA